TGTGTTAAAATAAATAAACAAATAAATAAAGACACTATCGTGGAAAACTTGGAAGTACTGAACGGTTGTATTGTGCTAGTATGAAACTCGTCAGTAGTGTGCATCCATGATCTCGATCCATGGGATTCGAACCCAGGAAATTCGGTTTATAGAATATATTTAAATTGTGAATATGAATATTTTATAAGGATGCCAAAATATCTATTAAATTTATACGTATGAATATCTAATTTATTTATGAAATAGTCAAATTTACATTAGTTGTTTATTTAGTATAGCCCGCTCACCAGCACTGTCCATTCAACCCTGTCTTGTGCAATCCTTTCCTGTTCTTTCCATTTATTATTCATCATTTTCATATCTGATTCTATTTCCTGATGTAGTGTGTTCTTTGAACTTCCTCTCTTCCGTTTCTATTTAAGATTCCAAGTAAAAGATTACCTAGTGATGTAGTTTGGTGATTTCATCAATGTATGTCTGTTAGGTCCCGATAAGCATAATGAATGGTAACTTTTGGGATCCATTTATGGACCAATACTATGAGTATATTTTTATCGTATAATTGTTAAGTAACTAAACTATTCATATTTGTGTTCCTATTAATATGAGCTTTATTTTAACTTATGAACGATTATTATACGATTTACCATTCTTGAATTATACCCTGTCTATTTGTCACTGCCTCCCACATTCACAGCTACATTTGATCAAATCTTGTATAAATGTTATTTTCTATTTTGTGGTACAATTTGGTCTGTTTGATTGATATATAAACTAAGTACGTTTGTAATACATGATTCATATTGCAAATTCTGAGATTGGTGTTCTGGACTTAATTGGCTGGGCTAAGGTAGGCGGAAAGTAGGATCAATCAGGATTCTAGACTGCTCGTACGGATTTAAAGCGTCAATGGACCGATCGATAAGTCACTGCTGTCTAATTGTCAGTATCAATACGTATACATTAACAGGGCACTCAGGTCGCAAGTTAAAACAATGTCCTATCTACTTTCAACGTCTTTTCTTAATTTTCTCTTCAACTGGAAGTTGGTTTGTTCTGTCTCACAGTAAACTGTTGTTGATGGTATTGGGCTAATGGATGTTTAGTATCATGCGTACTAGTTCTTAACATTTTAGCTCCGTACAGTTGGACTGTCATGACGTTCGTATTGATATCATTATATTAGCCCATAAAAATGTTTCAAAGATATTACAAATTATATTAGAATGAAATATGGTAAGAAGTTGTCGAGTACGTGCTGGGGTGATCCAAAAAATTCCTTGGAAAAAAAGTTAAAAAAAATGCTCTGAGAACTCTGAGAAACATATTACTCAATCAGCATCCAATAGAAAGTTTTCCAGAAACATCTAAAAAGAAGAAAAGTCACATGTCGCTTAACTGATTGGATGATTATCTATACTACTACTTAGTTTAGTAGCCTTCCATAAATTTCCGGAAGTTTAAAGCCATCTAAAATACTATAAATACCCCAGATTTTCTGTACATAAATGAATTTTGGAGTAAAACATTTGTTTCATATTTCGCGCCTTCTTTCTCGTGTTCATGTCGCTGGGTAGATTTAGCCTGTGCGGTTACTAGCAACAGCTTAGGAACAGAATCTAGAGTTCAATTAGAAGACTTATAATTATAATCATATATTCTGTACTTCAGAGCGATATTGATGTTCTGATAAGTTAGTCCAAGATATTGTAACCACTTTTAAATGGTATTGCGTGTATATCCATCGAAACTGGATACGAAAATGGTAATGGCAGCATCATTGAAAAAATATTTTCGGGTCGTTAGTCTAAACTCGTAATGATCTAGGAATTGTTATGACATTAGGACTACGGCTCTCTACTGTTCAGTAACTGCTAAAGAGTTTAGAACTGAATGGTCTTTTTTAAAACAACCCTTCAATAAGTTAAATATAAATGTTTATTAGGGCTTATTTAGCCCTAGTGAAGTACAACTTAGAAAACAATATATATACACACACACAAGAAGATCCTGCCTAAATGACTCTTAAGATCTCTTGGAAAAAGTATAAAAAACACTTGCCCACAGATTCTCAGATTCTCTTACTATACCCTGAGAGGTTTGAGGATATTAGGAATGATTTTGTACCTAATATATCCTCTCTTTTTCTTTCAAATAGGTCAAAGCAACACATACAAAGAAGGCGGGTTACATGAAATCAATTAAATTGATTTTATCGAATGAGAATTGAACTATAACAAAAATCAATAGGAACCAGGAATATGAACCATTCAATTTCGATGAAGTGATCTAAAAGTTTAGCGTTCATCATACGATCTCCATCAATTTTAGTCAAATTAGAACCCAATACCAATTTGTGTCAACTAACAACTCTCACGTTCACATTAGCACTATGATAAATGATAGATGAATGGAATATGAACATGAGAACTGTATTTCAAAAAGATATAAATAGAAGGAAAGAATGAAAACTCTGAAATCATTTTACAACTGAAATAAT